TATTCCATGGTGTATATGTACCACAGCTTCCTCATCCATTCGTCTGCTGATGGGCATCTAGGTTGCTTCCATGTCCTGGCTATTATAAACAGTGCTGCGTTGAACATTGGGGTGCACGTGTCTCAGCAGGCGTCTTTTAACTTCATGGTTGCAGTCACCATCTGCAGTGATTTTGGAGCCCAAAATAATTAAGTCTGTCACTGTTTCCATTGTTTCCTCATCTATTTGCCATGAAGTGATGGGACTGGATGCCATGATCTTAGTTTTCTGAATGTTGAGTTTGAAGCCAACTTTTTCACTCTCTTCTTTCATTTTCATCAAGAGGCTCTTTAGTTCTTCTTCACTTTCTGCCATAAGGGTGGTGTCATCTGCACATCTGAGGTTATTGATATTTCTCTTGGCAATCTTGATTCCAGCTTGTGCTTCATCCAGCCTGGCATTTCACATGATGTACTTTGCATATAAGTTAAATAAGCAGGATGGAGGGTGGAGGGACACAATTCAGCCCATAACAAACACCTGAAGTTTTTTCCTGAGCGCTCTTTTGTGCCAGCCAGTGTGATAGGCATTTATGCTCTTGTTTGTTCCTCACCATGATCCTGAATTGTTGTACTGATTGTTTACCTGGTCAGATCCTTTAAGCCAGTCACACTCATCTGCAGATTATTCACAGGATGGTCTGTAGAAATTTCCTGGCAAGGGACCTCATTTCCGAGCCACCTTCCTTACTTCAGCCCTGCGGTACTGCAGCCCTGACCTCACCCATGACCTCGAGGCCCACACACTCAGCCCTGCTGCATGCTGTGTGCTCTGGGTGTGCGGGTTCCAGTTCCTTTTCTACAGACCCTGGGCCAGGAAGACATATTTTGCAAATGAGGAAAATGAAATACAGGAAGTCAAGTGACTTCCGCAGGTGCTACTCCAGCATGTGACACAGCCATCATTCTGACCTCTGATTCCAGTCCAGCCCCACTCTTTTTGCCCCACACAGTCCCCAGTCTGTGATGGGAGCCAATTGGAATTGAGATCATGCTCTTCTAATTGAGACTTGAACCCATGAGCTGGGACTTGAACTGAACCTAAATCTAGATTGGGACTTGACCCCATGACCTTTTAATTTTAATCACTCACCTGGCATCTGGACCTACTGAGGCTCAGGTTCTTTGTGTCTCAGTGTGGAAAGAATTCAGTAAGAGACAAAGTGATAGGTAAGAAGTAGATTTATTTAGAGAGAAACACATCCTGGAATGTGAAGTCAAGTGGGCCTTAGAAAGCATCACTATGAACAAAGCTAGTGGAGGTGATGGAATTCCAGTTGAGCTATTTCAAATCCTGAAAGATGATGCTGTGAAAGTGCTGCACTCAATATGCCAGCAAATTTGGAAAACTCAGCAGTGGCCACAGGACTGGAAAAGGTCAGTTTTCATTCCAATCCCAAAGAAAGGCAATGCCAAAGAATGCTCAAACTACCGCACAATTGCACTCATCTCACACGCTAGTAAAGTAATGCTCAAAATTCTCCAAGCCAGGCTTCAGCAATACGTGAACCGTGAACTTCCAGATGTTCAAGCTGGTTTTAGAAAAGGCAGAGGAACCAGAGATCAAATTGCCAACATCCGCTGGATCATCGAAAAAGCAAGAGAGTTCCAGAAAAACATCTATTTCTGCTTTATTGACTATGCCAAAGCCTTTGACTGTGTGGATCACAATAAACTGTGGAAAATTCTGAAAGAGATGGGAATACCAGACCACCTGACCTGCCTCTTGAGAAACCTGTATGCAGGTCAGGAAGCAACAGTTAGAACTGGACATGGAACAACAGACTGGTTCCAAATAGGAAAAGGAGTACGTCAAGGCTGTATATTGTCACCCTGCTTATTTAACTTATATGCAGAGTACATCATGAGAAACGCTGGGCTGGAAGAAGCACAAGCTGGAATCAAGATTGCCGGGAGAAATATCAATAACCTCAGATATGCAGATGACACCACCCTTATGGCAGAAAGTGAAGAAGAACTAAAGAGCCTCTTGATGAAAGTGAAAGAGGAGAGTGAAAAAGTTGGCTTAAAGCTCAACATTCAGAAAACTAAGATCATGGCATCTGGTCCCATCACTTCATGGGAAATAGATGGGGAAACAGTGGAAACAGTCAGACTTTATTTTTGGGGGGCTCCAAAATCACTGCAGATGGTGATTGCAGCCATGAAATTAAAAGACGCTTACTCCTTGGAAGGAAAGTTATAACCAACCTAGATAGCATATTAAAAAGCAGAGACATTAGTTTGCCAACAAAGGTCCATCTAGTCAAGGCTATGGTTTTTCCAGTAGTCATGTATGGATGTAAGATTTGGACTATAAAGAAAGCTGAGTGCCAAAGAATTGATGCTTTTGAACTGTGGTGTTGGAGAAGACTCTTGAGAGTCCTTTGGGCTGCAAGGAGATCCAACCAGTCCATCCTAAAGGAGACCAGTCCTGGGTGTTCATTGGAAGGACTGATGCTGAGGCTGAAACTCAAATACTTTGGCCACCTCATGTGAAGAGTTGACTCATTGGAAAAAGACCCTGATGCTGGGAGGGATTGGGGGCAGGAGGAGAAGGGGACAACAGAGGATGAGATTGCTGGATGGCATCACCAACTCGATGAACATTAATTTGGGTAAACTCTGGGAGTTGGTGATGGACAGGGAGGCCTGGCCTGCTGCGATTCATGGTGTCACAAAGAGTCGGACATGCCTGAGTGACTGAAGTGAACTGAACACTTCATAGATGGAGTCTCAGCCATCTCAGAGGGCGAGAGACCCCAAAATATGGTGTGTTAGTTTTTGATGGGCTGACATGGCATAGACTCGTGAGTGAGAGGATTATTCCAACTATGTAGGGACAGAGAGCAGGGCTTTCCAGGAATTGGGCCACCGTCCACTCTCTGGTCTTCGACGGTCGGCCTTGGAACTGTTATTAGTGCTGGTGGGTGTGCCACTTAGCTTGCTGATGTATAATAAAAAGAGAGTGTGTGGTGAGGCTCAAGGTTTGGTGAAATTTGACTTGTGTGGCATCTTGAGCCTATTTGGCTCTAACTGGTTTTCATCGCATCCTATGGCTCTGTCATTGTTTTATAGGCTGTGTCCTGCCCTCTTCCCTCTGGTTTCAAGATAATTGGCATCTCTGCTTAGAATCCTCAAAACTTTCATCAGACCCTGAAATCATACTCTTAAGTAAACAGGTACATCAGCTTTAAGTCTGTTAAATCAACTGATTTGTCAACTGGAGATAGAATAATTTCTAATTTCTCTGGTGAGAGAAATTCCTCACCTCCTGCAAAAAGCAGCATAAGGGAGGAATTCTGTTTTTATCCTGACAGTTATGTTTCTGTTGACTCAGAGCTGTCCTGTAAGCCCCTTGGGGTTCAGTAGTTGAGATTTCTGAGGATGGGTAAAGGTCAAAGATTGTTGTAAGAGTCTCTTATCCACAGGTGATTTAGAGTTTTCTTTCTGAAATGCCACAGCCCTTTGATTTGTAATGTTCAGAAAAGATACTTCTAGTGTGTCTGATTATTAAAAGCATGATGTGGGCCCTGTGCACTCTTTTTTGTTCACAGCCAAGTTGATTTTCTGAGATTTTTCTTTCATGATGAATTAAAAGTTTCTCTTGGATTTGATTTTGATCTCTGCTCTTGAGGGTTTCCTAAAAGTTCCTCTCTAATTGATGAGGTAATTGGAAATCAGATGATGTAAAGTTTTATGACAAGGAATGGCTTCCTCCCTCTTGCTCCAGATTGTCTGCCAGGAAGAAATATGCCCTGGTTTTTCTGAAATGGCAAAGACAGCATGGAAAATATCCCCTGCAGTTGTTAAATTCTCACTCATTTTGGGGCCCTAACTCCGTAAGTAGTGTTAAATATATATGTCCTTTGCTTTTCTTATTTTTTAAAACAACTTTACATAAGATAAAATACACAATTGTAAGAGAAGAATTTAGTGAGTTTCAACAAATGTGTAGATCCTTGTAAACTTCATGAAAGTAAATTTTTCCATCATCTCCCAAATTTCTTCTTGCCCTTTATAATTAATCTCAGCACCCAGTAAACTAATCTTCTCTCTGTATAGTTTTACAGAAAGAGTTATAGTTTTGCCTGTTTTAGAACTTCATATAAATAAAATTAAGCAGTGTGTACTTTTGTGCCTATATTCTTTCGCTCAGCATTGTGTGTGTGTGTGTGTGTGTGTGTATGTGTGTGACTGATGCATGATAGTCTAGGTAATGAAAGGTTATTGCTTTTTTTTTTTTAGGTTATTGCTTTTTATTAAGGAGTAATATTACATTATATGGATGTATATTGCTACCATTATCTTGCACATTTACATGTTAATAAATATTGGGGTTGTTTCCAGTTAGAGGCAATTTTAAATCGAGATGTTACATACAAATCTTTTTTTTCTTTTTTCTTGTGTTAATACTTAAGAGTGGAATTAGTGGCTTGTATTTTAAGACTAAGTTAACTTTGTAAGAAACTGCAAAACTATTTTCCAAAATAATTGTACCATTTTACACCCTTACCGGCAGTGAAATGAGAGTTGCAATTGGTCTATATCCTTAGTGATACTCCAACACTTGGTATTGATAGTCTTTTTTTTAGGATCTCCCTGTGGAATGCAGAGATGTTAATTCCCTGATTAGGGATTGAACTGTGCCCCCTGCATTGGGAGCATGGAGTATTAATGACTGGACTGCCAAGAATGTCCCTTGTCTTTTTAATTTTGTGAGTTTCTAGTGGTGTCTCTAGTTTATTTATTATTATTATTTTTTTAATATTTGAAATTTTTAAGATCAATTTATTAAGTTCAATGATGAAAGCCATCAGAAGAATATTCTCCTGAAAATTATTTTTTTCTTAGAAAAAAGAAAGGAAAATCAACACCCTCTCAGCATAGCCACAGATGCTGTGGCAGTCAAGCCTGTCTGCAGACAGGAATAGTCCATCAGTCGGTCAAGTCACTGTCCCGGTCAGCAGGATTGTAGTCTGGATCATCTTCATCGTCCTCCAGCTCCAAGTCATCCATTTCCTGGAACAAAGACTCATCTACCTCCACATTGTTTCCAGCATCTTCCAAGAACTGGATATCAGATGTGTCAAGATTATGATCTGTTTCAAATAGTTGTCTCCCACTTAATTTATTTTTTCCTGCTTGCTCTTCTTCCTTCATCCGTTTCTTTTTAATTGCCAAGAGTTCTGCATCCAACTTGGCCTTCCAATTTAAGAAATTCTCAGTTGTAACAGGAGTACCATGGAATAATTGCTTCTCCGCTTCTTCTGCTTCTCTTTCTTTTTGTTTCTTTTCTTCTTCTCTTCTAGTTTTTATTTGATCTACTATTTCATTTAATTTCTCTTGCACACCTGTCACTGAGGTGAAGATCATCACCATACCAAGGTTTTCTTCTGCCTGTAATGCTAATAATTTTAAAATGTCTGCTACATCATTATCTTCTAGATTTAACTGGGCGAATATTTCATAAAGGGGAGCTTCATCTGGGTATTTTTCACTGTATGTAAACTTGAGGGTTGTCTGGACAGTTTCATCATTTTCTCCAGCCTCAGATGTCACAGTAATGGTGAAGCTGGGTGGATTTTCTGATAATACTGTGAAGGAGTCAGGGTAGATGGACTCCAGAGCCCTCCAGCTCGTTGCGCTGCTCCTCGCCGTAATCTGTCATCGCGGCCCTCTCTGCAGCCCATGGATCGCCCAGACACCCAGGCGGCGTGGTGCAGCCTGGACCGCGGCCGCGCTGGGAGAGCAGGCAGCCGCCGAGCGGGCGCAGGCGCAGAGTCCCAGGCGGAGAGGCCTGGGGCCCACGGCCAGGCTGGGCCTATCTCTAGTTTAAAATCTTATTTTCTTGATGGCTAATGATGTTGAGCATATTTTCATGTGCTTATTAGTTATTTTTAAGTTATTTGAGAGCATTTTCATGTTCTTATAAGTCATTTATGTGCTTATGAGTCATGTGTTTAATAACATCGTTAGTTTGCTAAAATATTTTCCTCATTTTTATTAGGTTGGCTTATAATTACATTGTAAAATTTCTTTATCAATTCTGGATATAAGTCCTTTGTCAATGTATGTATTGCAAATCTTTTTTCCAAGAATGTAGCTTGCCTTTTCATTTTCTTAATGCTACCTTTCAAATAGCAGAAGTTTTAAATTTTGAGGAAGTCTAATTTATCAATTTTTCTTTTATGTTTTTTGTGTTCTCTCTAAGAAAATTTTGTCTAGCCCAAGAGTGGGAACCCAAGCTTCCTGCATTTTTTTCCTAAAAGTTTTAGCCTTTCTTTGTGAGATAAGGGGTTGTGGCTCTTTATTAACTTTTAAAAATATGATTGTCCACTTATGCAAGTACCATTTGTTGAAAAGGCTTTTCTTTCTCAGCATTCCAAAAAATCAGTTGACTGCATATGTATGTCTAATTCTGGACTTTATTCTGTTATCATTGATTTATATTTCTATCCTTACACCTATATTGTCTTGCTGACTTTTGTATTATTAATAAAATGTCTTAAAAACCAAGTAGGGTAAATTCTACAACTTTGTTCTTCCATTTTAGAATTATTTTACTGAAACTTTTGCATTTGTATAAAATTTTAGAATATACTTCTCAATTTCTACAAAAAGAAGTTGCTGGGGTTTTGAATGAGGTTGTGATATACTGATGATTAATTTGGGGAAAATGGATATCTTAATATGGAGTCTTCCAATTCATAACCCTGGTATATCTATTTATGTTTTCAAATCTTTTTTCTCAGCAGTGTTTTCATATTTTATTTTACAGGACTTGCACATTGTTCATTAAATTTATTCCCAGTGATTCCATGTTATTAATAATTTTCTGAAATAAACTTTGATATTAAAATTTTTATTTCCCAATTGTTTTTTGTTAGTGTTTAGAAATATAATTAAACTTTGTTAGTATTTGGATAAATACTAGGATAAACTGATTTATCCTGTATCTTAGGATGTTGCTAAATTCACTCATTAGTTTTTGTAACTTGTAGTTTCTTTAGAATTTTCTACATACATGATTACATATCCACAAAAAAAGACAGATTTCACCCCCCAATCCATATGCTTTTTGTTTCTTTTTTTTAAACCTTATTCCACTGAGTAGGCTCTTCAGAATTATGTTGAGTTAGAAGCAGAGAAAGTAGAATCCTTACTTCATTCCTGATTTTAAGTGGAGTATAGGTTTCATCTCTTAAGTATGAAACTAATAGTAGGGTTTTTTGACTTACACATGCACACACACACACATACACACACATTTTTTATGAGGTTGAGCAGGCTTTCCGTTACTGGTTTACAGAGATTTTATAGTGATGGAAATTCTCTCAGATTTTGTTTGATAGAATTCTCACCTTTTTTGCAATTGGGAAAAGTTTTATTTATTTGTTTGTCACTACAAAGGTCTGTCTAGTCAAGGCTTTGGTTTTTCCAGTGATCATGTATGGATGTGAGAGTTGGACTGTGAAGAGAGCTGAGCGCCGAAGAATTGATGCTTTTGAACTGTGGTGTTGGAGAAGACCCTTGAGAGTCCCTTGGACTGCAAGGAGATCCAACCAGTCCATCCTAAAGGAGATCAGTCCTGGGTGTTCATTGGAAGGACTGATGCTGAGGCTGAAACTCCAATACTTTGGCCACCTCATGCGAAGAGTTGACTCATTGGAAAAGACCCTGATGCTGGGAGGGATTGGGGACAGGAGGAGAAAGGGACGACAGAGGATGAGCTGGCTGGATGGCATCACCGACTTGATGGACATGAGTTTGAGTAAGCTCGGGGAGTTGGTGATGGACAGGGAGGCCTGGCGTGCTGCAATTCATGGGGTCGCAAAGAGTCGGACATGACTGAGCGACTAAACTGAACTGAACTGAGGTAAAACACATAAAATTAACCATTTAATAGTGTACTATTCAGTAGCATTTAGTATAGTCACAGTGTTATCCAACCATCTCCTCTGTGTCCTCTTCCAGAACATTTTCATCTCCCCCAGAGGAGACCCATTAAGCAATAATTCATTTCTTATGCCCTAGCCCCTAGCAAGCACTAATCTGTGGCCACATACTTACCTATTCTGATTATTTCATATAAATAGAATCATACAAAATATGACATTTTTTGTTTGACTTTCATGGAGCATGACTTTTTTGAGTCTGTCATATCAGTATATTATTGTACATCAGTACATATCAGTACATTATTGAGGCACATTATCAGTACATGATTCTTTTTTATAGCTAATACTCTATTGTATGGATATATTGTGATTTGTTTATCCATTCATTCATTGATGGAAACTTGGGTTGTTTCCATCTTTTGGCTATTGTAAATAGTGCTGCTATAAGCATTCATGTACAAGTATTTATTTGAGTCTCTATACCTTCAGTTCTTTTGAATGTATACCTAAGAGTGAATTGCTGGATCATATGCTAATACTATGTTTAATATTTTGAGGAACCACCAAACTGTTTTCCGTAGTGACTGCACTGTTTTATATTCACACTAGGAATATAGGAGGGTTCTGATTTTTCCATAACCTTGCTAACACCTGTTACTTTCCTTTTTTAAAAGGTATAACCATTCTAGTGGGTTTGAAGTGTTGTCTCATTGTATTTTTGATTTGCATTTATAATGGTTTAAAAAAAAGCCACTGCATTTTCATAGGGATTGCATTGATTACAGATCCCTTTGGGGAGTATTGTTATCTTAATAGTATAGACATATGATGTTTTTTGTTTATTTAGGTATTCCTTACTTTCTTTCAAAATTGTTTTGTTGTTTTATAGAACTTCTGGTAAAATGTTGAATTTAAGTGGTGAAAGTAGGCATCCTTGACTTATTCCTGAGCTTAAGAAGAAGGCTTTCAGTTTTTCATTATTGAGTGTTATACGAGCTATGGGTTTTTCCCAGATGTCATTTATCAGGCTGAGAAATTTCCCTTTTATTCTCCATATGTTAGTGTTTTTATCATGTGTCAGTGCTTTTTGCCTGTCCCTTGAGATGATCATGTGGCTTTATCCCCTTGAATTTTATTAATGTGTAAATATTGTATTGATTGATTTTTGTGTACTTAACTACTCTTGCATTCCTGAGATAAATCTCGTATAATTCACCTTTACTTTAGAAGGATATTATTGTTGAATATAGTATTCTAGATTGGCAGTGTTTTCTTCTGGAAATTGAAAATGTTATACACTATTTTTTTAGCTTCCTTCTTTTTTCTGACATGAGGTCTTTATTCATTTCTTTTTCTCCAGTTGTTTTAAATTTCTCTATCATTGGTTTTTTAGCAGTTTTATTATTATGCACCTTGATGTTTTTCTTTGGTTCTTCTGCTTGAGTTTTGTTAATTTTCTTGAAACTATGAATTTATAATCTCCATTACAATTGGAAAGTTTTTCTCTATAATATACTCATATATTTTTATTAGCCATTTTCTTTTTCCAGGACCTCAATTACAGTATATCAGACAAGGATATTGTCTCAGAAGTCACAAAGAAGCTGTTCTTTAAAAATTTTTTTAAAGACAATTTTTTTTGTTTTTTTTCTCTCTGTGTTTAGTTTGCAGAATCTATATTACTGTTTTAAAGTCACTGATATTTTCTTCAAAAGCATTTAATCTTCTCAAACAGCAATTCTACCATGTTATTCTTTGTTTTCTCTTTTAGTGCTTCAGATAGTGCTTTCTAAGCAGATATCCTGAGCAGTTAAATGCTCACCATGTTTGATTCCTTTTCTCAGAGATCATACTCTGATCATGATTCTTTTTTATAGCTAATACTCTATTGTATGGATATATTGTGATTTGTTTATCCATTCATTCATTGATGGAAACTTGGGTTGTTTCCATCTTTTGGCTATTGTAAATAGTGCTGCTATAAGCATTCATGTACAAGTATTTATTTGAGTCTCTATACCTTCAGTTCTTTTGAATGTATACCTAAGAGTGAATTGCTGGATCATATGCTAATACTATGTTTAATATTTTGAGGAACCACCAAACTGTTTTCCATAGTGACTGCACTGTTTTATATTCACACTAGGAATACAGGAGGGTTCTGATTTTTCCATAACCTTGCTAACACCTGTTACTTTCCTTTTTTAAAAGGTATAACCATTCTAGTGGGTTTGAAGTGTTGTCTCATTGTATTTTTGATTTGCATTTATAATGGTTTAAAAAAAAGCCACTGCATTTTCATAGGGATTGCATTGATTACAGATCCCTTTGGGGAGTATTGTTATCTTAATAGTATAGACATATGATGTTTTTTGTTTATTTAGGTATTCCTTAATTTCTTTCAAAATTGTTTTGTTGTTTTATAGAACTTCTGGTAAAATGTTGAATTTAAGTGGTGAAAGTAGGCATCCTTGACTTATTCCTGAGCTTAAGAAGAAGGCTTTCAGTTTTTCATTATTGAGTGTTATACGAGCTATGGGTTTTTCCCAGATGTCATTTATCAGGCTGAGAAATTTCCCTTTTATTCTCCATATGTTAGTGTTTTTATCATGTGTCAGTGCTTTTTGCCTGTCCCTTGAGATGATCATGTGGCTTTATCCCCTTGAATTTTATTAATGTGTAAATATTGTATTGATTGATTTTTGTGTACTTAACTACTCTTGCATTCCTGAGATAAATCTCGTATAATTCACCTTTACTTTAGAAGGAT